GGGGGGGGGGGGGGGGGCCGAGAGCACGTGGTAACGGTAGACGATGCTGGAAGCGACGAATGAGTGGAGAGTACTCTCGGCTTATTCAGCGAATTCCCAGCCCTCTCCTTGTTGGCGGGATGGTGAATCTTTTGGTGAATTTTTTTAATGGAATTTTAGGCCGATTTTTTTGAATGTTTCAATGACGAGTCGCGAAAGGTAACGGAACTAGGGTCGATTTTTCACGTCAAGTTATTTCGGTGATGAGTCGGCACACGCGAACATTTTTTGCAGAAAAATCTAGCGAATTCGTTAGAAAAGTCTGTAGGATTTTCATTGAAGTTCTATTGGAAATTCTATTAATTTTTCGCCGATTTGATTGAAAAAATTCGCAGCTGTACTGTTTTTTTTATAGAAAATGTCCAATAGGAACTGTTATGTGGAAAAAGATCCGCAGAATTTAGTTGTTCTATACAACTTTGTTCAGTGAGATTTTTCCGAAAGGAATTCCTCGACATAAATTTTTCGTTCTATTGTTCCTCTTCTCTTAAAAAAAAAAATAGATAAAAAACTTGGAAAATTAGGGACGAGTAATTTCTCTAGAAAATATTTGAGTAGAATAAGTTGTATAAAAAAATCAGAATCTATTTATTTTCTCTTCGAAATATTGTCTACTAAAATTATATTTATTCAAAAAAAACGTGCAAAAAAATGTTTCGCGTGTGACTAGGAGAAAATGGCATAAAATTTTGTATGTCTTTGACACTTTCGCGTGAAATCACACGGCTCCGAGACAAATAGACAATTGAAAACAAATTATAAATTTGATACACTGGATTTTACCATTTCAGGAGAGAAATCGGTTGAAGCCGAATTTTTTGGGCTCTAAATGAGGGGAAAACAGTTGTTTTGATAGGGAGATTTCATTATCAGCAGAAGTCGTAAAATGTCTAGAACAGAACAAGCTCATTATCGTCGTTTCGTTTGATGCGAATTTCAATCTCAGAAGGCATTTTTTATTGGACATCATAATGGTTTCGTGATATTTTCTCCTGGAATACGTCTCTGTCGTGAATTTATAATAACTAGACCGGTCACGCGCGCCAATCTATCACCTCATTTACTTGTGAGACTCTTCCTTTTCTTCATTGAAATTTCAAATGTATATAAAAATAGGTGATAAATAAAAAACAATCAATGATAAAGATGAATGATGAGCGAAAAATTAATGACTAATTTTGAATCTTGAACCACCCGAGTGGAAATTTCACTCAGTTAGCTTGGATCTACATTAATTTTAGGTTCAATACTGGTCAGAATTTATTGATGACACTTTCGGATCAGGATCTGATGAGATTCTGAATGGAGTATCTGTATCCATTGTGGCGGAGTGAATTGTGATCCTATTCTGATCAGTCAAATCTCGACTAGATCTGTATCGGGTCCGGTACTGTTCAGGAATATCGAATCCTAGAATTTTGACCAGGCATGGACCCAAACAAGCGTTACATTTCTGATCCAAAATTGATCAAAATCAATTTTTACTGGTCAGTCTCTTATTCTATCCTAATTTTAATTTCCACTCGGGCAAGTCCTTTTACTTTTTAAAATTATCCGATCAATACCCGTAATTGCTGGAAAATAAGAGTAGTGTTACGACTCAATTGTCTAGAAAAGCGCACAATTTTCTTGAATTATTCGAAAAATGTGAAAATTCTTTAGGAACCTAAATAATTTTTCTAAATTTTTCTCGAGTGAAAAACAAAAACAGGCATTTCCCTAGAAGTTTTTAATAAATTTTTTCGAAAGAGAATCAAATTTATCTTTGTTTACACCAGAAAGCATTATATCGGGCCAAACAAATCGTCAGAATAAATTTACGACCGGAGTAAATTCATTCCACAGTTGGACAATTTTAGGAATTCGTCGTAGAGTGCTTTCATTCAGCCATTCGATCGGGAATAGGGATATGACGGACAAAGCTGACCAGTCAATTTACCACCATTTTATACATAAATTACCCGTCACTGACTGAAGGCCAATTACAGACCATTTTTCGTCAAAAAAAGTGACGGAATTTCGCGTCACAAAAATGACAAAAAAAATCTTGACGGTCATTTTGCATCTAGATAGAGCGCGACAAAAATCTTTCATCATATTACCGCGTTACTTCGAAATTCGACACTACATATTTGAGAGATTTCATTAATTAGTTGTCAAATGTGAAGATTTACGACATCATTTATCCAATGAAAAATTTTATACGACTGTTTTTCTCTAATTGAACTTTATAGATTCTATGATAATAATAAATAAGAAAAAGTGCTACGAAACTTTTCTAATTTTTTTGCAATTCCATACTGAAGTAATATTAACTAAATTTTCGATTTCCGTTTCAGCGTTATTCATGATTTTATTCAAATTTCTGAAAAAATTCATGAAAAAAAATAAAAGAAAAAATTACCGAGCTTAAAAATGACGGTCAGATTACATCTAGATAGCTGATTTTTCAGCATAAATCATAACGAGAAAAAATTACTGACGATTGGATAAGTTGACTGTACGGAGGGAAAAATTCAATAAAAATAAAAGCGACGCTATATTTCCGCAATATTTTTTTACGTTTTTTTAAAGGAAAAAAGGTAAAAATTACGTTTCGAAACGTAATACGCGAGCGAAGTAAACATGCGATAATTATTAAGGGAGAATGAGGAGAAGTGGAACGATAGCCAAAACCGACAAGAGCGGAATTCAGTTAACTGCTTTTTCGTCGCTATTTTGTGGTGAAAAAAGGGGGGG